TAGTGTAACGTATAGCTGCATCAATGAAACAAGCCTTCTCTCCTTTTCATCTTATCACACAAAAGCAAGTTTTCTTTGCAGGGTTGATAGTAACTAACCAATTAACATCGTGCTTCTACTTAAAGATGACCTGCATAAAGAATTCAGTCTTTTAAATGATTTTAATCTCTTTATCATATCAACCACACACTGTAGTAATCACTTAACAGAGACTACAGCTGTGAGCTATGTTAAATTGTGTGTAGTTCAACAAAATATCTTCATTAAATAATTCAAGAACAAAGTTCCAAAACATCGCAGTCCCGTTTTTTCGTAGAATCTTCGCTTCTGTGCATTATCCCTAGCAAAACAGGATGGTAACATACGAGGATGCGATATCACTTTAACAACCCAGTTCAGCTTTTTTCAAAGTTCGTGAGGCAGACGTCACAATGTGCTTTTGCCTAGTTTTCGCTTAGTTGCTTCATTAATAGAAATTAAATCGTCAATGTCTTTCCATGGGTAAGCAGAGAGACAGCAGATGAAAGAGTGTTTGCTCTGATACCGAGAAGTGTCCATTGTCAGCGACGTGGTAGAAGCGCACTCCTGTTGCATTTGCGATGCCTACTACTACTGATGATGATGATGATTTTAAATAATAAGTGAAACGCACAATTTGTCATTCGCGGGGTGTGATGCAGATAGTCTAGGCTACGGCAAAGAGCTCATCTGATCGAGAGCGCAGAGGTGTCGCGAAAAAGAGGCGATACAGCTGAGAGAGAAAACAAAGTCCACCTCCAGTTAAGAACTGAGAGACTTGATGATTGATGATGTCAGGTGTTCTGTTTCTAATTAACGTTTAAATTAGGCCAAAGAAGACCTTTTGGATTAGCACTGCACCGCTGGAGACCGTAAAGATCTTTTAATACATGTTTTGAAAAGAGATAGCTGTAGTGTTTGCTTCGGATCTATTAATAATTCCAAGACTTGTGAGAAATGTTACGCCATTTTTATTTTTACGTTTCGTTTCAAATCCTTTGCAGGAGGTTTATATCAATCAGTCGAGGTGAGAGGTAATGAGGATTCACAGAAAGGTGTTTTAGTTCATTGGCGCACGTTGGTCTATTTCTTCAAACGAATAACGAAAAATAATGAGGAAGTTACAAGTCTTGTGATAAAATACAACAGGATGTAAAATAAGGTAAAATATTATGACTAGTTCTAACTACAAAATGATGCACTGATGATTTTCTGCTTTTATTGTATGTAGAATATGGATTCTTAAAGACACCGTGCAAAAGTCAACAAATGGTCATAATAATTATCTAAAATGTAGTTAATTGACATAAACAATTATAGCATGTTAAGAACAAAAGAAATGAGTAATGTCTATTAAAACTGGATCGTTGAAAATAAAATATTATTGATAAAAGTACAGTGAGGGTGTAGAAAGTGAATCCAGTTGTTTTATAAGAATACATATAAGTTCGTAGTCTAGTTTCCCGGAGATATATAAATATTATTTTGCGGTCTGTGCTTTCCAGAATATAGAAAGACATTGTGTTTGTATTGTTTAGTATATTGTGTTCAACTGTTCAAGATGTTTGCTTTCATTAAGACTATCGTAAAAAATAATATAACTAAAAAGGTCCAACCAATGAAGACATTAATACGCTACCATAAAAGCGTCATTATCAGATGTCCCACATTGTATAAACATACTGCATAATGTAATAAAGCGCTTAATTTAGAACAGGTTCCAAATGAATCATTTGATCTGATTTATGTAAATTAGACAGATGACGTGTTTCTACTTTGTTGAATAATATTTTTTAATACGTTTAATTTGCTAACTGTTATCAATTATGTGTACATAATTTTACGTCTTTTTAATCTGCATTCATATCTTGGAAGATAAAATATAGTTGGGGTTCTTCGATATAATAAAAAGATTCCTAGGAAACATTTTGTTTTGTGTGTGTGCGCTCTTTAACGCTACCAGTGATCCTCCATTTTTATTATGCGATCTATGTTTACCAGATATATTGGTGTTTAAAGAGATTATTCTGTTTTAAAACCGTTTTATCCCTATGTTTAAAATGTGAGCCTCAGTGACATTTATAATTCCACATATATTCAGTTCTCTTTATTCTTTATCCGTAACTCTTCAATATTATAATGCTGCTAGTGTTGGCTATATCAGCAGTTATCTTGTATATCTTTTTAATGTGGATTTCTAATGGATGCACTCTTTTCGGTGTTCTGTGACACCCGCGCCTCCTAATCTCCGTCTAGTGTAATAGAATCTCACGCTGTTTAATAACTCCAATGTTATTTGGCCCTATTTTGTCCCTACACGGATGTCACCATATGGTGTTCTTGGCACGGACAATGTGATGTTGCTGTAAGGACTCCATTCATCTCTAATGATTCGTGTAAAAAGGACATCTATCATTCCAATCGATTATTAAAACAGATCAAATCTCGACAACGCCCGTTTCCCTCCGTAAACCCACTGAAGTTCATCGCATTTACAATTCAAAATAATTCACTTTGTTGACACGCGCGGCGAAAACGAAGAGAATAAACTAAAAAATTGTCACTTTTAATTTGTAAATCTTTACATCACGTGTCAGAATGGAGGGAAGGGAAATACGTTTATGTTGTGAATTATTCATTCCAAAAAGCCACCGTTTCATATAAAATGAAAACTACTGTCAAAATTGTTTTTTTTTTAACCTTCGGAATCGAAATTAATTGTTCAAAGAAATTACATTTTATGAGGCGGATTACATTTTTTTCTTAAAAGAATAAAAGACTTCGCTGGATTTAAGAGGTAGTCGTAGCATCAGTTCTTGTAGACGCTTTCGAGAAAAAAAAAGAATTAAAACATAAATGCACGCTTCCCTGGAGGTATAACATGTATTTTTGTTCATTTATTATTTTTGGCCATATAACACGTGTTTCCCAAATAAGCTATGTCACCAATTTAGTATTATTGCTAGGAGATGTTTTCTTTGCAGTGTGTGCTTTACAGAATAAAGAAATAAATTGGGTTTACTGCATTCAAGTGTCCGTTTCATTATAACATAAAAGTTACCCAAGCTGTTTAGCTACAGTAAATGTTACTGGCAATAACTCTAATAACACCAAGTATTTTAAAATGTGTATCTGCCTATAATTAAATACATCAATGCATTATACAGCTAATTCGCGATATTGCTTATGGTGTGCTAATTTAAAATTGATTGTAACTCTTACAGAACAACAATTTCCCAACATTTACCTCGCAAGGCCCCGTGCTAAACGAGCCTTAAGAACATTAGGGTATCTGAATTATGTTTAGACATTGTTATATATTAAAATTATCATTTAAACTAACAGGTCTGATAAATAATAAGAAAAATCTGACAACCGGTGTGATGTATTTTAACGCTTTCCCTTTTTTTTATTCATGTTAAACACGTTGCCTTATTAAACCATGCGCTTGGGTTACTTATAATGCTCCTCATGCTTGTGTATTAGTCTATGATAAACGCTGCTGAAAAATTAATCTACAGCGCGCAGAGAGTAAAATGTATATGTACAACACATTCACGAATAACGAACAAATAACTAATTGCCTTCGATAAAGATGACACTTCGGTTGTATTATGCGATCTTAAGCAACCCTCCAGACTTAAACGCATAAGATGTCTTCCTCTGCAGCATGGAGTGTTATTACTATTGAGGATAGCAGATAGGAAAATGAATCCGTAAGCGTTGAAACCTACCTGCTCGTTTGAGTCCACCTTGACTTTTGCAGTCATTCAGGCTCTGTCAAACAGACAAGCCCACCGTGCGACATCCGAATGTTAATTTTCATCTGCATGGTGATGACTCGGGCCACGACAGCGGGCCTCCGAGATTATATTTACCTGGATATGCTGCACACGGTGAACGGGGGGAAAAATCAAAAGAAGACAGGGGAAGCTATTCGCGGGGTTGCGTTATCGGTGAGTTATTTGTAAGAGATTTTATAGAGCTTCAGGTCACTGTAACTCAAAACCCCACAAAATCCCCCTTTCTCTACTAATCATTTCCAGGCTCTCTCTGTCTTTTATGGTGTATTAGGGAAAAAAGAAGAGATAATAAATTAAACGAAGCCACAAAGGATAGGAGTTTCATCTGGTCGAAACCCCAATTCTGGCTTTCTCATATTTTTTTTTTAGTTTAGTCCAACTACATCAGAATGAAAAAAAAAAATATACAACATTAATCCGCTTTCCTAAAACGGCACCAGTACAGTGGAAATTAAAGTTTTTGTTTCGTACACTTGTCTCTTACATTTATGTAAGAAACATTTTATTGGAACATTAACGTTGTATTTTCTTACATCAAGGAAGATCATTTTAGTGGCCATACGGTGCTAATGTGATTCCTTTCAGCCATTCCACTTACTCTTGGATACTTCCATTTTATTAATCTATATCCCTTTGCGAAGGATAAGAGAGTATTACAGGTATTCGTAAAACACATCTTCAACACTAACCCGGTTATCTAAACACATTTAGATCTTTCATTTATAATCCATTTAATTTTAATCTCTTGCTTTATTAATGAAATCCCATGTGCTGGTCTGCGCCAGCATGAGACAGAGTGAGCTTTTTCATAGACAGTTGCGATATTATTCTTCTGGTAGGAAACTGAGCCCCTCAATAAAGCATTCTAATCCGTATACCGTCCCCTCCCTTCTTAACTCTATCTAAATTAAACAGATAATTTATCGACACTTTTTTTTCCCACCCTTCTCAGACCTATTTGCTGGAAGATTTAAAAGTTGACTTATAAACCCGGCAGTACAGCTATTATCACCCAGTCGTGACGTACAGGCTTTGATGCATTGCTAAAAGAAGCCGTTCACTCCCTCTTTCCACCAAAATATACACGAAAAGCACGTGGTTCCCCTAAGTGGGGAGTAAAACGGCAGAAGCATAAACCTTTCAAGCGATTTCTTCGAAGTTTGGTAACACTGGAAAACTCCTCCCATTCCAGTACCCAATTAATTAATGTGGCCTGGCCCTTTAAGACTCTGCGCCGGGTCAGTAAGTGGTGTAGTGTTTCTCTAATTGATCTTCACCCAATCAACAATAACTCGTTAGCAATCGCTTGCTTTTCTTGTTCCTTGAGACCTCTTTTTTTTTTCCTTGAAGCAAAACAGCCCCTGGACAGTGCTGTTATACTTTCTAGAGGTCTTCATGGAGTGTCTCAGAAGGACTCCGGCTTTCTTAAAGGGAATACAATACTGGTGTCTGTAATGCTTCAGCTGGCGTTGAAGCATGATTTTTTTTTGGGGAAAAGGCAGTTAACTAAAGAGAACTTTTAAAGCCCTGATATAAGGCACAAGGAAGGAGAAGAACAGATCGTTTCTTTTTGTGTTGGCAGGTTTGAATTTCCTTTGAATGCGATACGATTCGCCGAATTTAGAAACAAACATTTTCTTTGGGAAGTGCAATGACCTCCACTAAAGATATGAAGGCAGGAACAGTACCGCAGTCCAGCAGCGAAGACAGGAGACGGGCCGGCTTGGATCAGCTGCCGCCTCCGGCCAACCCCAACAAGCCGCTAACCCCCTTCAGCATCGAGGACATTTTAAACAAACCTTCGATAAAGAAGTCGGCGGCCGCTCTGTGCCCTCCGAGGGTTTTGGAGAAAGTAAACGGCTCCAACACGCCCAGGAACGGCATTACAACTCCGTCCTCTCCGCTGTGCGCGCTGGAGGAACTGGCCAGCAAAACTTTTAAAGGGCTGGAAGTCAGCGTAATACAAGCAGCCGAAGGTATCATTGCGTGATTTTGTGTTTTAATCGTTTGGAACAATGCGCGTCTCAGACGGGGTTTTATTTATTTTTTGACGTAAACTGTTTTATTTACACGTAGAAACGCAATTGCTGCAATATATATAGATATTTTCCTCGTCTAAAATGAAGTACGGTAACGCTCAATGGCCGGAGGTCTACAAAACAGTGAGTGCTGAACGTAAAGACAATCTGAAACAGCTCATAAAGAGTAATGCGTTTATAAAGCATTTTAGCTGGTTTACAGTTAGGAAATACCTTATAACTTTTTAATAAAGTAGTTATGTAAGTGCACAAATTGTGATTTGATAGTTTTAAGTCTCGTGTTGCGGTACACAAGTGCTGGTAAGCTATACGTTTGTCTTAAAAACAACTGCAAATGAAATAATCTCCCACTCATTCTCCATGCTCTAATTTTATTCTAAAATATAATTTTATTGATTTTGAAGACTCCCTTCGTTTTTTAATATTGCAATACATGAGTCGCGGTAGCCTCGCGTACTTTCTTGTATCGGGACATTCACTGCTGGGTTCATAACAATTATCTATTCACAGCAAATGTCTGAATCACAATGTTATCGTGTAAGGGGGTTATATATATATCATTCAGTTCTCCGCAGCCTTCACAAATCAAGTGCCCACCTTACTGGTAACGCGAATTATTTTTAAAATGATCAAATGAAGACCAAAACCGAATGATAAAGAGGCAAAGCTATTTAGGTTAAAAAATAAATAGATTGATTGACATGGAATGTAAAAAAAATAACAGAACATTACATTTCTACACAACGAAAACGAAAAAAAGAAACCGCTACTCGGAGAGTCGTGTTATGTGTCTGGAGATACATGTAGAGTATTCAAAGCACAACGTTGAATCAAAGGAATGAGTGTAATACATACAGAGTAGAATTTCACATGTAGCTGTGGATGCACTATTATTGTTGTTGTTGTTGTTGTTAAATCGTTGTAACAACACAATGTAATCTAGAAAGTTGAAGAGGAAAAAATGTTTTTTTTTTCCTCCCTCTAATCGCGAGACGTTTGCTAGATACGTCCTAACCCCATCGTCTGTATTTACAGCCTCCTTTGCGGATGAAGTTTTAACGCTCTTTTTTTTTTTGCTCTCGTTTCAGGTCGTGAGCACCTGAACGCTTTCGGCCAGAGACAGGCCTCGAAAAAGCGAAGGAAATCCCGCACCGCTTTCACCAACCATCAGATTTACGAGCTGGAGAAGCGCTTTTTGTATCAGAAGTACTTGTCTCCGGCGGACAGAGACCAGATCGCACAGCAGCTGGGGCTGACCAATGCCCAGGTCATCACCTGGTTCCAGAACAGACGGGCCAAGCTCAAGAGGGACTTGGAGGAGATGAAAGCGGACGTGGAGTCGCTCAAGAAGATCCCCCCGCAGGCTCTGGAGAAGCTGGTTTCCATGGGAGACATTGATGACCCCCGAGGAAGCTCCAGGGCAGGGTCCCCCAGCGTTTCCCCGTCTTCACAGGGGCACGGGGTCTTCCCTCAGTCCCCCTCCTCATCCAGAGACCAAACAACAGACGAATTCTCAGAAGAAGACGAAGAAATTGAGGTGGATGATTAAAACGAAAAGGCGGGAGGCGGGACAGTCGCTTTTGGAGCTCTGAACGGACACGAACAATTATGGGGATCAAGTGTAAAGCGGAGGAGACTTTCTTTTCTTAAATTATTTAAAGGAATGTACAAAGTAGTCTTTTTTTTTCTTCCTTATCAGCAGGTTTTACGTTCATGCAACTTTAAAGGTGGGGACGTTGATTCCCTATGAACCTTCCGCAAAACAAACCAAAACAACCCGAGGACTGAAAATAGAGAAGACGTTTTGAAAATCTGTTGGGTTTTTTAAAGAAAGCTTTGTCGTTTCTTGAACAGGTACAGAGTTAAGACTGAAATAAGCTACTGCAAAGTGTGTATGTATGTCATAATTTCTTCAGCGTTTTGAGGGAAATAGTGCAATTTGTCATTTTTTATATATCCATTCAAACCACATAATTTTGTTTTTTTTTTTCGCTGCTAACAAAACAAACATTTGCCAGATTATGGCATTTTATATTAACGGCTGCAGGTAAAAATAATTTATGTTCCTGGGACTTGGATACTTCTGTTTTCTTCGTAAAAATACTGTTCAGTGGACAGAGAAATTTATATGGATGTTTTCTCTTGCGGCCCTCAAATTTTAAAAATGTGTGTTTACGAAAGCAGAAAAAAGCCCCGTTTAATTTGTTTTCGTACATGTTGAGCATTTTATTTCCTTTACGAATTGAGTTGTAATACAGATAACCTTCTATAATCAGTAAATTGTAAACAAGCACCTATCACCAAAACGGTTATTATAGGCTGTGTATATAATTTTAAATAAAAATAAGAGACATCTTATTATACTAAATTTCTTGTAATGTTTTATTTGCTCTTTCTTTAAACAGCTGGACGTCATTTGTGTTAATATAAATAACGTAAAGGGTGTACAGAAGAGGATATCTGGTATGGAATATACATTTGCGATTGTATGGGAATGCACAGCTAGAGTTAATAATATGGAGGGATGCCTTTTATAAACCGCAAGTCTTTGAGAATGAGAGATGTGCATACCCTGATATGATAAATTGTACAAAGTGAATATGTGTAGATATAAACGAGGTGGTATATAAATCTACGTTTTTATTTTTTCAATATGTGCTGTTTATCGTTGAGCAATTAATATTCAAGACCTAGCCTAAAATAACTCACCTAAGGAGACTTCAAAACTGAAAAGGGCCTTTGAGCTTAACGTGCGTTTTCTGACTGTAGTTAACTTTCAATTTACTCGTTGTAAGGCTACAGGCCGTTTGATATTCAAAACAATTTGTTTTCCCAAACAATGACTGGGCGACTTTCACTTTATGTTAAGTGGCTGGCGTTTTGTCCTCCAGTCTTATTCAATTAGGGTCAATTGTACACTTATCGCCCCTTTCACTTTCTCTCAACTAACAACTGTCACAGGGAGTTCGGACTCGGGGCTGATGTAGAAAAGGTTGCGAGCATCCCTGTGCCATATGGTTTATGAATTTTCTCCAGCACAAACTAGTCAGCATGATTGATTAGTTTAACCCGCCTCTACGTACTTTAACAGTTTCCCCAAGCCAGCAGCAATAATGCTACGCATCTGTGCCTCTTTTAATGTGTGTGTTAAAAAACGCCCATGAATAGCAATTGATTAGCAAGGGGTTCCTAATGAATAAATCTCAATAGGAGGCCGGTTAAAATAAGGAGACTGTTTTCTTTCCCTTGCCTCCGTGTTGTTCAAGCCTGCTGTCTGCTGGCACGTTGTTCAGTCCATTTGTAACACTTAACCAGATCAAGGAGAGCTATTTTGGAAAGAGTGAGAGACGGGGCTGCAGTGCACAATTGGCGCAATCGGATGGAATTGCTGAGAGGTTGAAAAGTCAAACAGGTTTTTATTGTTGCTTTGAGAAATATCCCCAAATTGTTGCCAGAACGTTTATTGCACGACAGCAAATGTTTTTTTTTCTCTCTCCAGTAAGCCTATGACCGACAACTTCTTTTTTTTTCTTCCACCATTTCACAATTAAACACGTTTTCTTTCTCTTCCTACACAATTGCAGCCCCAGGTCCGCAGTTGTTTCGTTGTCACCCTTTAAAGTTATGAAACTTCAGATACCGTCTTCGAGAAATGCTGCTATTTATTTCTTCCCTCACGCTAAGCTATTCAGTGCTAAAGTTTTCGAAACTGATACTGGCTGTGATGTTCAGGCTGTACATTATTAGAATTCTGGCATCTGGAGTATGTCTGTCGTGTGAGCTCACGAACGGGGCCTGTCGAAAATGCGACCTTTTCTGAAAACGGCGTCAGATTGTTTTCAGCGTTGCAAGATTAGTAGTAGTAATCGATACAATAAGAAAGCACGAAAAATATTTTGTTAATGTAGAAATCAATACAGATCACACCAAATATATCTAATGATAATTTTAGGTAAATCTCAGTAAAACGGACGTAGCTAGAGGGAATATGACGATGCTAAGAAATGTAGTTTCTCCTTTCAATCTACATTTGGAGTCAATGAGGTGTTTTGATATGCTTTTGCAAGTTTAATCTAAACTTTGCAATTGATAAAGCTATATTTCACCCTCTGTTGCAAAAATGTTATATATTATGATTCAGTTAAAATCATAATATAGTTTTCATTGTGTTTTTTTTGTAATTTCAAATATATATATATAAATATCAATGACCTGTCATGTTGTGTGCATATAATGGCTATTGTGGTAGCAAATAAAAGTTGCAGTGCACCCCGGACTACAGTAACCTCCCTAATCATGAAATTAAACAAATCGGAAAATCAAAATTTAATTTTCTATAAAACGTATACAGTCATGACTTGGTCTGGGGCGTTTTAAACATCATCGTCTCCACAGTTAAAAACCCCTTTAAACGAAGGAAATGATTTGTTGGCGTGTGGAATTGACACAGCGAACTGAAGTTGTCAAACGCTGAAATGTGAGCGGGATGTGTTTTTTAACTCCGACAAAACATCACAGGACCTGCAGGAGATGCTAGTCTTTAACTTCGTGACCATGGATAACTCTGGCAACTATAATTATATCAGGAAAATAAGCTAGCCTTCTCTAAATATTGGAATGTCTTCAACTTAAGTTAACTTAGGTTTAGTGTATTTACATATCGGCTTTCACGTCAAACGTATTGAAAGACTTGGAGACGAAACCCCATTTGTTTAAAAAAATGGTTGAAAAATAAATAAATCCTCGGTGATGTATACATGATATCGTTTGTCGGTAATATAATGAAAGTATCGTCATCATTATTATCACAGTAATAAGCTCTTGTATTTGTATCAAAATAACTTTTATTTTTTTACACATTGCCGTTATATTGTTAATATATTTAGCTAGGAGGAAATTATATTTTACGTCGGTGAGATACGTCATAGACTATTGTACAAACCAGCGTTAAGAAATACTTTATAACTGTGTCCCCACAGTATCTGGTAACAATAGGCACCAACAAAGGATTCGAATAAAAACGCATGTAGTGGGAGAGCGAGAAATGGAGTGCTGAAAATTTGGATTATTGATTCAATTTTTCTATGTATTCAAAAATATTTTTAAAAATATAAAATCAGTGAGGCTTTTGTTGGAATCCTGAAGACCCTTAAAATAGTTTTATATGGCGTGTACGTCATAGCTCGTCTGGCGTCAGTCAGAATCGTGCTGCACTGCACCCGATAAGCCCCGGTTAGGAGCTGTAGCTGCTGAAGCTTTGACTGCTTGTTCATTAGTTAAGGATACAAATAAAGAACGGAATCTTCGGTGATTTCTTGGTTGTTATTTTTTTTTTGTGCACGTCAGACCTGCATACCCACCCCCCACTCCACGAGACGTTGAACAAAGGCCTGTAGGACTGGACTGCGGTAGAGTGCTCGCACCCCAAGTACTTTTAGGGCTCTTCAATCCCCTCTTCATAAAGGAAGAAGCACGTCATATCGAGATGCCCACCTTCCATATCGCAAGATAAATCAGTGGCCTTAAACTGTTCGGTGTTTTTAAACAGTATCTCAAGAATTGCTTTCCCCGAATTCCCCAGAGGTGTAGCTGTGGACAGATATAGATGTTGTTGTTGATAAAGATGATGATTATGATGACGATGATGATATCACTGATTGGTAGAGGGTAATCATTTAGAATCGGTGTAGCTACCGACACAACATAGCCAGCTAAAACTGAATACGTTTTCCTTGCTGGAGATTCCTGAATCCGTACTGCTGAAGGAGCTGTACTGGAAATATTAGTGAACAAACACAAGTACAGCCTCGGGGAGCACAAGTGCGTCACAGGTGCTTTCCAGCAGACAAGCTCAAGGACAGGTGACGTCTCCGAACACAATCACGCGTCACGATACGGTCTGGGCGTTTTGCTGTTTCAGAAACGTCGACCCATCCTTTCGTCGTTTTGGTGATATTTTCGTCTATATACTATTCAGCTTTCATTCTGTTTCAGTTCTTATCGCGAGGGCTATTTTCGGTGTGTCGTCTTATCCGTGAAAGTCAGAATAGTCTTCCTGAATACAACTGAAAATCTTCATTTGCGCCTCACAAGGAAAATGGGCTTGGGCATACTTTAAAATTCTAAATGTGTGTAAATTTATATGTATGTAAATATTGTCCCGGTCATTTTTGCCTGCGCAATTCTTGCAGAGCACGCCGGTGCAGATAGTTATGATGTTGAGCTGTATCACAGTTATGCTTTGGGAATTACATTTTGCTCATAGAAGGGAAAAACACACTAGATTTTTGGCTATAACCTTTCTTTCACCTTACTCGCCTCATCAGAAAGCTTCTCCAAAACATTAACATGAAAAGACACAACGGACAAGGCCTTTTCCCTCTTCTGAAACTTTGAAACAAACCTTACACAGTCCATCTTTTGCAGACTGCACAATTGGCATCGTACTGTATTTGTGTGTCTAACGCAAAGCGAAAATACTTGTGTGCACTAAAATAAGAAGAATGACAATAGCCCTCTGTCGTCGTTTGTCGTTGATCATAAACCGACAACACTGTTGATAAACATTCGCCACGTGGGTATTGAACAGCTTATTCTGCTTTAGTGAGTTTACATTTTCTTTTAGCTGTTTCTATTTTCCTTTCACCCGATTTGTGGCTATACACCATGAACAATACGTGAACAAATCTGTTTTGCTACGTTTATAGTAAATCAGTGTAGATTCGAATCTGCCAGCAAGTCCGGAACACGCGGGGTAGCATGATCATTATTCTTATCGTCGTGAAATTCATATTGGACGGAAAACCTATGGTAGTGCAATTCACACATAAATTATTTAACTGGGAATTAGTTCATGTCGATATGATCATACAAATAAGTTTAGCGGGGGAAGGGTAGGGTGTCAAATGCTAATAACATCAGGGCATTACAGCGTGTTTGCTTACTGGGATGGAAATCGTAGTTTATCTACAAGCGTACACACACGCAGCACATAAATACATACAACCTTCATACACAGCATCATTCTAGTAAGCAAATAATAAAATCAAGGCTACAGTAAGCCGATGAATTACCTCCTACCCCGGATGCATGTGCTATGCCATCGATATCTGTAGCGATACAGTCATTAAGACAGTTACGAGCAAGAACAGTCAAGACGCATTAAAGTCTTCTTACGTTACCGTTGTCTCGTTGTCTTTTTGTTAGTAACACCATCTCATGAAATCGTTTAGGAATGGTTTTAAAGTAGACTAGTTTTTCAAGCGACAGTTAAAACAATGGTATTTTTGCCTATCAACACCAACCAAACTGTATCTGAAAGGAAAAGATTCTAACTGCTGAACATTTTACAGGCCGGTAAATACATACAACATACGTACTGTACGTTTGCGGTTTATGTTTAATTGTAATTTATGTCACCTGTTTTTATTGACAGTATTTTATTTGCACTTAGCTTTACAGTCCTATCGAGTTGGCTCTTCTTTTAAACCCCAATTTTCCGGATGGATAATTCGATGCTGTTTTCTGACACTCTTTTCTGTTGGTAGTAATCTGTTTTAACATGTGATTAATTATACCGTTTTACGCTCTTTTCTGTACGTTTTACGTTTTCATCATACTTCATTTAAGTATTTATCAACACCCTTTTGATACCGAAGCATTCTGAGGATTTTGAAAACCCAGAAGAAAAAGCGGTAATAATTAATATTAATAAAATAATAAGTATAACAAATGCAGTGAATTGAGTAAGGGATTTATCTATTACGCAAATATATCCCCACGCTGGAACATTACTGGTAATAATCAGGCTTTCATCCAATTTCAGGTCTACGGACGACTTCACGAAGACCAAAAACAGTGGAAGTTAATTCTTCATGATTATTGTACTATCATAACTGTCATTCAGTTACACATGAGGAATTCTTATATAACGTGAAAGAAAGCGCGTTCCCTTCGATCGGAGATTCTTCTCGAGTATTGTTGGTGAAAGAAGGGATGAAAAGTTTTCTTTAAAAGTTCCTTTTTTTACCATTCTAGTCATCACAGCATAAGCATCTACACGGCTTTACTCCATGAACAGGCAGTTCTCGAAAACGCTTCTAACTACTCGCAGTACCTTGCACGGATGTGTTGAGACATTTTGTTGCTTTTGTTTTAATATTCGGTGTGTCAGTTGTCAAGCCAGCTAATTTAGCTACCGACCTTAGTTCGCCAATCGCTGCATACCACTGGTAACCTTATAGCATATGAAATTTCAAGAACATGTCTTTGACTTGCCCGTTTTTCCAAAGATCAGATTCATTAAAAATTTAACATTTTGAAATATGACAGTCATTTTTACCGCTTTCAATTGGGATATAAACACTTAGTTTAGCCTTTATATCTTCACCATGAAATAAGGACACGTCTGCCACCTAGTGGCACAGTTGCATTGTCAGCTTCTTGAGGACCATGGCTCTTTGGCACAACTGCCGTTAAGCATCAAAGCTGAAATGTATATTCTAATAACGGATTAGACTGATGCAGCCAAAACCGTCCTCCAATAAGTCCAAAATTGTTTTGATTTTCCTACAAGAAAACATAGCTCAAAGTAACATTACGAATGTTATTGAAAACTCTTAATGGTACACAAGTTAACTACACTTCATACATATTTGAATGCAGGAGAAAAACGCAAAGTGTACCGTATTAATCGTATGCAAGACACGATTGACCAAACCTGTTCTTCATACATCTTTGAGCTGTATAGTACGAGAACTGAAAACCTATCAAAATCCTATCTGTAACAAACCGTGCAGTCAACGGGTTCTCCAAGAAAACAGATGTAGTATCTTGTATTACAGTTGTTAAAATCCTGAAAGACAAACCTTAAAAAGATGAAAAGTTTCTGTATCCTTTTGCCTTCATAAAAAAAAAACTCAACATGGCCAGTATTGAAGCCATAAAGAGACTTTAACCAATTAAGGGGGGAAACAGCATCTTAAATGGTTTTTGGGCAGAAGTACTGTGAGCTTTGAATTCATTTTTATAATATCAAGAAACCACATGCCATATTGCACATTTTGAAAGCTCGTGTACATGTCCCTGGTCTGTAACAGGGGCAAACCCTTTCGAATTCATCAACGAAGGCTTTGTGAATAGTCTTACCTCTGTTCTTCAGTCTACCAACCTGCTGTTAAAAAAAACAAGTAAAGAAGCAACACAAATGAGGGGCCGGGCAGCCTCCCCTCTCCCAGAGCCCTTCCTGTGTTCCGACTCAGGACTGCACCGTTCTTGTCCACACCCCTAGCAGCCACGCAACTGCATACGCAAAAAAGGCCACAGAGGAAACTACAGATCTACTATTCACAAAATTTATTTAAAAAAATAAAACCCAGACAAAATAAGTATTTTATTTACAGAAATATTAAAAATAGAATATATAAAGTACAAATTATATACAGCTGTTAATATTTTTTAAATTGCAAAAAAAAAACCCACTGAAATTTACTGCCAAAAACGTGGTTTTGAAATATCTGCTGGCTCTATCTTCCCCGCTTGTCTTTGATGGTGTAATGAAGAACCAAAGGCTGCGACTACAAAAAAACAAAAAGATGATGCTGTATAAATCGACAAGGTCGATGACATTAATTACTGATACAACACTTATTCCTGCTGGATAGTACCTCCTGTACTGATTGACCCTGTAAGGGATTTTTTAGGAAAAAAAATAATGGAATACTGAGCAAAACTAAAGCTTCGATTAATGCCACTCAAAATGAAAATGGAAAACGATTATCATGTGCCAAAATGTTTTAAAACAACCTGAGAGTTTGACTGCATAACCATAAGCTCTTTAATCAATTCATATCTTTTCTCTTCTTTGTACTCTACAATTAATTTTTGTCCTTAATCCTGTTTACAAAATAAGATGTTTTTTACTGAAGTGATTTCAGTCACACTTCTCCTAAAAGTGCTTTACATGTTGCTTCAGTGTGCAAAAGCTGCAAACTAGTCTGCACAGGAATTTCAAATTTGAAACAGTCGTTACCTTTCCAAACCAATGTGACAGCCAAAGTTGTTTCATGGTCATGTGATCCGGTAAGGACTCATTGTTGAATAACATCTGAACCTATAAGTGGAAAAGACAACATGAACCGATGAACATTACGAGATCTCTGTAAAAAACATAAAAGGGAATTTAAACATTTTCTTTAAATCAATTAATCTCTCTCACATGAGGGATTAGGTCAATTTAATCAGGAAGCACCTGTTAAACTATTTCTACTTTGAGCCCATTTAATGTGCTGCTTCTCAGGAAATGAGAAAGGTATGCAAAGGAATGAGCCAGGTAAATGTTATGTATATTCTTATAGCACAGGGGTGTTTTACAATCACTGTAAATATGCTTGTAGGTCTGGGTTTGCTGCACATGGTGGTGGCTATATGTCACTTGCAGCTTTAAAAGCTGCTTTTCTTTTTCAAACCTTACAGCACAAAAGCAATTAACTATCGTCTGTGAAATGTTTGTTTTTGCCCATGTCGATTCCAATGCTTGTAATTCTTAGGATGGTAATAACATGCAATAAAAATAAAAATGGTAAGCCAACTAAAAAAATGAAATCCCCTTTCACAGGAACTTTCCCAAACTGGGCTATGCTGTAGATTATCTGCAGAGATCTGTGCTGAAATAGCAGCTTGACCTCAAACAGCAGTGCTTCCTTGAGGAACACTTTACAAAAAGTTAGAAATGTAAAGGAGACCACATCAAGTCTGCATGTTAACCATGTACGCAGTTGTTATTCCCTTAAACCAATGCAGTTTGATAGGACAGACAACTCAGTGATAGGCCCACTGTGAAAGAAAAGCAACCTTTAAGTTATAGTCTTGCTTTTGCTTCTGTTCTCCACTGCAATCTTAATGATTACAACAGGCAGACTCACCTGTTGTTTTTCAACACTGAGTCTGTGACAAAGGACTCTTCTCAGGTGCCTCACCTCTGCCCTTGCAGAACATCTGACATACTTCTGCTATACAGGAGAGACAGAAGAGTAATTACATGATTATTGCAGATAAATCCCACATATTTACACAAGAAAGTATAACTTCTGGAAATGTGACAATATTGTAATTCTATCAATTTTTTCTTACTTTGCCTGTCTCACTTTGAAAGGCATGCACTACATTAATGAAAATAAAAAAATGTAAATCCTAATGATAGTTTTTGTTTTGTTTTTTGTTTATATTATGTGCTAATATAAAATATAACTATTTCCTCCCTGCATATTTCAGGAGAACCAAAATTTCAGTTTTCACCAATCTTCATCAAGTTACAGAACAGCATCTTGATCTGGACAGTACTCCCTAAACTCATGACCATAGGATTCTCAGGCAGAATTAAGCTTTCAGGTCAAGTCCATATCACATCATATCTCACAGCTGTATAAGCCTTGAGCAATGTAGTTTAAGCAGATTTTTCCTGTGGGTAAATTGGTACCAAACGTTACCTACAAAATAGGTAATTGACATCTCTGCGATCCACCTAGTGTAAAGAAACCGCAACATTTGAAATTCTGAAAAACATACATCAGAAACTCGGGCAGCAAATACAACTTGTGACCTGTCACACCACATATGTCTATTAATGTAGCTCTTCCCACAGTGTAGCCCCTAAGACACACAAGCAAGTCATTCATCTAACAGAATTCATTTGATGTAACTGGTTTATAACAGCCTTGATGCACTGGACCATTGTCTAACTAGAGATGATGCATCCAGATTTCACCCCAAAAACAGATGCCCGTTCTCTTGACCAGCTGCAATGAACCTCAGTCTGATGTCCACTAATAGTTTTTATCTTCTCACCAACTCCTACACTATCTGTAAAGTACTCTTGGATATCCCGGGGAATGGCTAGAAACGTAAACTTGTCAGATGCCAACTCTTGTCCTGCTCCTTTTCTTATGAGATTAACTTTTTTCTTCATTTTATTAAAAGGCGGGATACGTGGAAAAGAAAATTGTATTCTCTGTTGATGTTTTTTTCTAATTCTTCACAAGACAGGGGCATGTTTTGCTTTTATTTTAGAGTATGTACAGATTAAGAAAAATTCCTCTTTCATGCTAAAAGGAGCAGCTTAAGGATTTTCTACAGGAAAGGTTATTGAAGCCTTGGGTTTCACATGATGTGGTATTCACACCAACCCAAGAAGAGAAGCATGTCCTGGACTTCAATGTCTGTGGGTCACTACAGGTTATCCTCTACCATAAAAAACATAATCGTATGGTTTGGTTTAATTTACAAAATGGCTTTTTTTCCCCACAAATGATGGGTAACAGTTTTAACCAATATAAAACTGTGTCATGCGGTTCCCATGACATACACCACCTCTCACGCCTTACTCAAGTATGCCATTTTTCATTATATACAGAGACACCAAAACTCATTTTTGTGCTTATAATGCCTCTCGGTATAATTTAAAGACAGCGAGTAAATACATCTTCCACAAAATCACTTGTTCATACTAATGCCTAGAAAATCCTTTTCACGATACAGCTCATGCATAGAACCCAGAACTCTATAGACATTTAAAGTCATGAGAACAAAACTCACATGACTGTGCTTGCTGCATCATTTAATGCTGAACACTTAATTCAGTATCTGGTAACTGCATGCTACTGTGACATTGTTATGCTTTTACAATTTGCTGCAATGCTCAATTAAGATGACAGATTGCCTGCCAGGAACCATTAAAATTAACGAGTGTTCAAAGAACAAGAAATAAACTTAACATACAATATACCTTTAAATAAGTCTTAAAAATCTCCCCTTTCACTAACACAAAACTTGAATATAGATTGAATGTGCCTATTTTTTACTTTGAACAGCAACTGGTTCCTAAATTGAAAAAGTCATTTCAAAGATTAAGATATAACAATGAAAGAATGTCAATACTGTCTACAAGCAGAAACCTTTTGTGATAATTCTATTATTTCATTTCTATTTACCAATACATTTTTAATAAAGATAAAACACCAGCAGAAGGTCTGATGTCTTTTTTAAAAATCTTCAGCTCCCTTAAAGAAAGCAACTGCCTCTCAATAGCAAGGGAATTAATAAATTTACTGCAACAAGCCGAGAAACACTGAAATCAATAAACTCCCATCAACTGGAGTCAGCTGCTATAGAGAATTCCTGACCTCTTCCAGCCCTCCTTTGCTTCACATTAACTGCTGAGAGTGTATCTATTTGCTGTTAAATATGTTTTTGATTTACTGCCTCTTTGGTCACCACTCTCCCTGGCTATGTCCCCAGTCAATGAAAATGGGTAAAAGTTAATGAGAATTGACCCCCTCAGGGATCAGCAGAATTCAGTGGATACGGTGCTTTGGCACTGTGCAATATTTCTAAAACCAAACCCGCCGCCTTGATTTTAAGAGGAACCTTTTCCTCTCGGACCACTGTTATCTTAATTATACCACTTGGGTTCTCTATCCAGCATTATACCACTGACATGCTTCAGGAAATTTCATGATCACTTCTGCATTTTTACATTTATAGAAACACAAATTCAACATTTTTCAGTAAGCTCTATGTATATAGATATATTCTTTCATAAAATTCTAACAAACACATCAGTTGTATATTACAAACATTTTGAAATGCATTTCACAGCTGCAGGAATATTCACCCACCACTTTCATGCTAACATCTGGAAGTGCTGGTATATCAGTGAAGATACACACTTGATCTACTGCAGAATACTTGGTCCCAGTTGAATGTTTACAACTTAAGGAATTCCTCTTCTCTAGTTCTCATACATTCTCCTTACTCTAGTAGTATTAATATACTAATACTATTATAAATGTCAAGTGTCCAATTTTTTCACTTAAATTGGTGGGAACAAAAACGGGCAGGTTCCTGGAATGGAATTCCATGTTTAGCTTTGTGAATCCCTGGAAGTCAAAGAACAAACAAAAGCAATGATTTTGCTTTCCTGAATTTGTGGACCACCAGTTTGCACAGAGTGCGGACTAACAGGAGCAGTGACTTGAGTACTCCTACTATAGGTAGTTTTAGTAATGGTCTACTAATAAAACTATTATTCCTTTAACCAGCTTAGAGTTTCAATGAAAAATAACTGTACAAATCAAAATTCTATGATGCAGCTTTTGTAAACATATCTTTATAGAAAATTAGTTTTTAAAACTAATTTCAAGTTTCAAAACAATTTTCATTTTTTTTCTTTTCAATAACATGCTCCATCTTGTTCCGCTCATTAAAAATAAATGCAAGCCTGTGTTCCCCAACTTTAAATTAAACAATGAACCTCAGCAGATTTAAAGAACGCCTTGCGCAAATCAAAGTTTCAACTTTCAAAGAGTCAGGGAAATAAAGTAATATTTCAGCTTGTTCTTAATTGTGGCTTATCTGTATTCTCCTGTTCACATTCTTCTGACTAACCTAATACTGCATGCTCCATGGGTTAGCCATCGTTTCTCATCACTGCCACTCACCCACACGCAGTGGTCAAGAAAAACAAATTCTAAAGGAAAACCCTTAAGAGCCAAAAAAAAAAGTCAAGCATGGCACACGTCTTGAGGCATCCTTAATTATTCCCTATTTCCATTCCGAAGATAAATGACCACTGAAAGAGAATAACTTTCAACCTCCAGGCAAAATTAAGAAAACTACAGGAGAGCTAAAATAAGTTAAATGCTTGTGTAAGGAAAGCATACATTTCACAAAGAACATAACAGATATAATGAGGGAAGAAATACTAAAGCACAAAAATGATCCATTTAGTTCCTAATTGATTATTCTTTATACAGTTAATACATAAAAGACACAATCTTGTGCAATGTAAACCAATTCGAAAGGCGGAACATTTCATATGCTAGGTCTCTTATTGGCTAACAGGTATTGCCAACTAAAAGGCGAGATGGTATCCTCACAGAAGAACCCCACAGCAAACGCAGCAGCTAGCTGGTCCCCTCATTAGCAAACACCTTTTTGAAACGGTTTTACCGACCACCGGAAAAAATGCCGTTCCTGTTCATGGCTGACCTTGGCAAAAGCTCTTCTCTTGTTATGGTGACTGTATTGCATTGAAAAAGGAGATACTAGAGCCAGGTTTAACAGTTTTGAAAAGCATCTTGGCTTTCGCAACATAAGAAGAGCTGGGGAATGTGCATCAGCGGACCCTGAAGCAGGTATGGAGTCTCTAGAGCACATTAAGAAACTCAGAGAAGTGAGGTAAGCAAAAACAAGTGTACTCAAATGCCTCTGAACACAGCATGGTGAAACCTCTGCTGATTTAGGCTTTGGAAGGTAAATCATTGACCCTCTATACCAGAGAGCTAAATAACAGCAATTGTCTCACTGCACAAGTATTTAGGAACAGTTTTAACAATTGTTTCAATGCTCTGCTAATCCTACACAATATCCCAGTTAAAGTTGTTTACTGTGATTTTCGTCCCGGGTTCTGCCCTCGTAAATTAATTTTCTAACTTCTGTTTTTAAATGGCACTTAAATCTAAGGTGAGTGGAGCACCTTCAGAAACAACATAGGAACTAGCAGTTATTGCAGCATATTTGATTTGAAACATTTTAAATTCTACAGAGCATGTGATGACTGAATTCCAAGATCAGCATCAAACAGAATATTGTGAGGTGCACACAAAAGCAGCAAAGATTGTGGGATACTGGCAAAAGTGTGGTTCATCCTTCTTCCACCAGAACTGCAGTTGAGCTAGCTTACAGGAGTACTGAGTGAATACATACAGAACACAAGTAAAGGCAGAAGAATGCCTCAGTACCACGGTGCGGGCTTTCCATAGTAAACTCTGTGACTCAACAAGGGGCAGAGATGCCTCAAAGTGAGGGATGGGAAAAAACTGCAGGACCAATGTTGTCGGTCGAAAAATATGGCATTAATGGTCAAAAAGAATACAAGATATAATAGGAAGGGAGCTGTGCCTCTATCAGGCCAGGACAGCCAGTGCCTGGAGGAAGAGAACCAGGCAGAACAGACAGAGAGGGAAAACCTTTGATGTGGGATTAAGAAAAAGTGCTTGCTTCTTTTGTTTAAACAAAGGATAATGAGAGGCTTTCGAAGTAGGTGAGTATCCACAGAGGTAACCTTAAACCTTATATATAATAAAGCACTTGGCTGTATGGTTAGAACTGACTGTGCACTCTTTTATTGCTGGCCAGGCTTGGCGACCATCAACCAAGCTATCCCAACTCCAACACATACGGCAGCAAACTAGTGTGGTCAGAAAGGTAGCTGGTACTCACAAATATAATAAATCACTGCCTACACAAGTCCTGCCTTTCTCGTATTCCCTAACATATTCCTTATGCCAACACATACAAAAGAATGAAACCCAAATAAAATACTTTGAGTTTTTTTCATGTTTTGCCACAGTAAACATTTTCAATCAGATTGTTCCCAGTGTTGACAGTGTATTGCCATTTATCACCTTTATTGCTGGGAAATACTCTGCATCATTAGTACTGATACCTCAGTGCTGCCATCAAAGGTGTGCCCACAATCAAGTTATGTACAACTACGTGAAATATAAAAAGGGGGAAGGGCTCTAACCCTGCATTTGTGACATTTTCTGTAGCATGCGATTGGCCTCTTGGCATGCTACATCACACGCAGTACAATGGAGGGCAAATGAATTCAATCACACCTTATGTCATGTTGCTGTCGGTATCTTTTCGAAAAAGTCAAAATCAGTCTCACTAGTTTAGGAATGCGGTTGGACTTACCAAAACTGCCAAACCAACATTTTACTACACACTAGTTTTTAAAACATGCCAGCAGCCATATCATTCTGCAACTGGCAGCCCACTGGAGCTCAGCAGGTGTGAGCCTGGTCAGTACCTGGATGGGAGACTCCTGGGAAAAACTATGGTTGCTGATGAAAGAGGTTAGTGGGGCCAGCAGGGGGCGCTCACCCTGCGGTCTGTGTGGGTCCTAATGCCCCAGCACAGTGACGGGGACACTATACTGTAAACAGGCGCCTTCCTTCAGATGAGATGTAAAACCGAGGTCCTGACTCTCTGTGGTCATTAAAAATCCCAGGGCGTTTCTCGAAAACAGTAGGGGTGTAACCCCGGCGTCGTGGCCAAATTTCCCATCGGTCTTTACCAATCATGGCCTCCTAACAATCCCCCTCTATGAATTGGCTTCATTACTCTGCTCTCCTCCCCACTGATAGCTGATGTGTGGTGAGCGTTCTGGCGCACTATGGCTGCCATCGCATCATCTAGGTGGGGCTACACACTGGTGTTGGAGGGGAGTCCCCATTACCTGTAAAGCGCTTTGAGTGGAGTGTCCAGAAACGCACTATATAAGTGTAAGGAACTATTATTATTAAAAGTGAAATGAATAGATGGGGACCTCTGCTGGCACACAGTGGAATTTCCACCTTTTGATTGCATCCAGTCTTCTACACATTTGTTTGAAAGCTCTTACTGGAGATACTGCATAAAACAAAATGCAGCTGGGTACAATTAAAATACTTTCATAACCAAAGACATGATTCTCTCATTAGAAGAGATATTAACAATATTTGGTTTCTTTAAAAGATACTTGCAAATGTTAACAACAAGATGTTAAAAACTACTTTTGTAAACAACACTGCAGCAAGAACTGACAGCTGTTGAAAGCAAATACCAACATTAGCAGTTGTATTCTTTATAAGCACAGAAAACCCTTACCTGCAATGTGAGCTTGTTTTTGTCTTTCCCAGATGATGAACTAAAAGATGAATAACAGGAAAAAAATTAGCTTCACTAATGTGCATACTTTAAAACAATGTGTCCAGTATGGTCAATTCCAACCTGTATGACAAGAAAAATCATTGACCTACAATAAAACATCATACATATTTGAACAGTCTAACCAAATCTGAGGAACCTACTAAAGCTGTTTATTTGGAGAGAAACAAGACAAGAAATTCATATCCTGCAAAGCTAGAAAGGCAATCCATAGACTGATGACCTGTTCCATATAAGAGAATAAGGACACAAGGAAATTAAACTAAGAAATATCAGCTCTCAAGTTTCACATTTACTTTGGCCAGACATAACTCAAACACCAATGATACAACCTAACTTAAAAGGATTAATATTGCAATGCAAAAGGTCATTCTACTGTAAACATAATACTTATTTCAAAGTCTGGTTCTCTTATCAGAAAACCTAAGCACCTTATTACTAGTCATCTCATTTAGCAACAAGACAATATTTATTTCTTCATGCACATCTAAAAGTTTTAGGGTCAGTGTTTGACCCTAAAAAAGTGAAGACTGATCTAATTAAATTACCTTTGAATGTCGATTGAAATCAGCAACACACAAATATAGCTATCAAGCAAAACACTGCAGATATGTCTCACATGCTGCAGGAAAGAGATTAGTCTTGCCACCAATTCTACTAATACAAATTAAAGAACAATTCAATGTGTGAATTTTCCATTTGAATGGCAACCAGTTTGTCAGACAGCTCGTAACTGTAGCCAGGCAGCACACCTAACTAAAGTGTCCACAGGTGGGCCCTGCTAATTATCACTTAGAATTTATCCGATCACTTAGTCCTAATCCTAATTAGGCGTGGAACCAAGCAGTTGCAGAACTGCAGAGATTACCAAGCAAATTCAAACCTCCATTGGCTACTTTACAGATATTCAATTCAATTTATTTTATATAGCGCCTTTCACAGCAAGGTTGCCCCAAGGTGCTTAATGCAATTGACGATACATTTTGTCAATACAGATGTGCACACTAATTGAATTTACTGTAGTTTTTAAATGTGCTTTCTCTTTTTACACTTTGGGCTCAAAAATACCAGTGGAAGACAATGAACTCCATTTTACCATTCCCAGGCCACTGTTGATTTTTTATAAATCATGAGAGGACCACGCCTTCAGCAATCTGTGCATTTCAGAATTTCAGCAATATTAAAAGACTCTTTTCCTGTGATACTGTTCAGTACATCAAAAAAGCATCACCTATCACAAAAATGACAAAACTGATTAGGTAGGATTCACACTAAAATTTAATGAACACATATGTTACATGAATGTATTATACTGATTAACATATAGTCATCAACAGTGTCTTACTGAAAAAAGTACCAGGCTGCTAGCATGGGTGGCTACCAATGAAAGTGAGCGAAGCGGCACATCTGCGACAGAAGCTTTACACAAGGTTGCAGATGTTTTTTGGGGATTCTGGGATTCTATCCCATTCCTTGAGATGCTTGGGGAGGAGTCATCCAGGAGGCAAGGAGTCCCTAGGACACGATCAATTTAGAACCATGTAGTTTGTCTGCCATCAATTGGAGTATTGAAGCAATTAGAAACCCCTACCCAGACCACCGTACTTAAATCTTCCCAATTAATGGGTCTGCATGTCTGCTCCGTATCTGCTGACATGGGCGGATGTTCTCCTGGTTTACTGGACATCAACTGGAAACATTCACTAATAACTCAACTAACCAACTGATCTACTCCACACAGAAAATTTGTATAATACAAGGTGACATTTTCAAGTATAAAAGTTAAAAATATAAAAATAAAGACTACGTTTAAAAACTTTTATTCTGTTATCAATCTTAAGAACATGCTGTTCTATGCCTTGTGTGTATGGTTCAGCAAATTCACTTCATGTTGCAAGATACTTTAAAACATTACTCACTGTTTACTGCAGTGTCAGAATGCAAAGGAGCACTTAAAAGAAAGTTATACTGTTGTCAATAATTTTTCTTTTACTTTGAGCTGAAACTATTCTCTAACAAGTTAAGAAAAATTGGATAGTGATAATAGGCTTAAGTTTGATCTTGTGAATTATGAGAATCTGGTGCATTTCTGATATTATAATGCAATTCACTACAGCCTATATTATTACAACCAGAATTTTTAATGCATACAAAAAATTGTATAAAAAATAAGAATTGAAATAGCTTGTTTACTCAAGTATTCAGCCCCAAATCAATACATAAAGTCTAAACTGTATAGTGCTTCATATGTTGTTTTCCTTGAACAGGTTCTCCAATTGAACTCTATAGTTGTGAGGGTAGTCATTGGATCCTTGGTCACCTCTCTGACGATGGTACTTCTTACCTGGCTGCTCAGTTTGGAAGGACAGCTCTAGGAAGAATCTGTATTCATTCCATTTCCTAATGATTGACTTGACTGTGCCCCTTTGAATTTTTAACACCATAGATATGTTTTTATACCCTTCCCCAGATCTACGCCTCCTTACAATTCAGTAACAGAGTTGTAAAGATGGCTCTTTATGGTAGTTTGTGCTCTGACATGCACTGTCAGCCAAGGTACCTTATACAGACAGGTGTATTTCTTCTGAAATCATGTCAACCAATTGAACTGTCCACAGGTGCACTCAAGTTTTAGAATGATCTCAGGAGGAAAGTCAAGGCACCAGGGCTAAATTTGGAGTATCACAGAAAAGACCATGGGTACATATCAAATTAAGACATTTTCTTGTAAATTATAAAAGTAAAATAAATAACTTCTATCCCACTTTAACTTTATAGAATAAGGTGTGTAGATCAGAGAAGTCATTCCATATAAATATTTATATTTTATTTAAGACTGTGAAAAAATCCAAGGAGGGTGAATAGTTTCTGAAGGAACTGCATATACTTACAATGAATGCAGCACTAAACGTTTCTTGCAAACAAGACAAAATATTGTGACTTGAAATGCGAGGTCACTAATGATAATATAGTTAGAATTAATGTCTTAAAAATATCTAAATTATTTATTTTTAACAAAATTACATAGCATTCAATAGGTGAGCTCTAGGTCTCAACTGAATTCTTTTGCTTTTTAAAAAGTTCATTTTCCACTGTTTCAAGAATATAACAAATCTAAAGTGATTGTTTTTCTCGTTTTTTTTCTCTAAAATGGGTATTGATCATAGTGCGACCCAGCTGACTAAAATTCACTAGATTGAAAGATGAGTTCAGCCTGAGACAAGAAAGTCAATACAGAAGCTGATTCTGTTTTCTTTAACAGCTATTGATTGCAAAGTGTATGTTTGCAGCTATAAGAAGGTAATCGAGAAAGTAATCACTGTAGACAGGCTGTGAGTCAGTGAAGCAGTTAATGCATCATCTAAAATTATTAACAGTAGAGTAGTACAGACACTTGTTAATAAGAAATATATTCCAAATGAAAGTGCTTCTGTGCTTTATATATTCATACATACACACTAAGAGTATTTCGTAAGTGTTGAGTTTTACGGAAGTCTGTCAGAAAGGTTAATAGTTTAACCCTTTATTTATGGCCTGATTTTTTCTTTTTGTGCAAAAAAAATAAGTACTCATAAATTATATGGCCTGTTCACATCTTGCTCACTGGGAGATGTGCCATCTCGATTCTGATATTAATGTCACTGCTCACTTTAAATCTTCCCTTTCTCCTCTTTAAAGCCCAAATTCCTGGATCATAGCCTGTTTCTACTGAGAGGACTTTCAAGTCTTGACAGGCCATAGAGGGTTAAGAACATTTACAGTATCATCACTGTATTCAACAGACAGAAAAAGAAAAATAATGTATATTAAAAATATTTAAGTTTTCCTTTCCAGGGAAATTTTTCCAAATCTGATGTATTTCTAAAACTACTGAGAATTTGAAACCCATGTTATTGTAAGGTTAACCACAAATGTGTCAAGTAATTATATTTAAGGGCAAATGTAATATTTTTAAATACAATTATAATGAACAACATTAAAAAAAGATGACGAAGTACAAATTAGAAAGTAAAATAGAAAAGAAAAACAGGACATACTACATGAAAAAGACTGGAAGGGACAAGTAGGTCTGCACTGCATAATAGAAAAGTGAAATCAAAGGAAATATGAACTTTGGATCTAATCATAATTAAACATCCTTACCTTAGTCTTTCTAAACAGAGGGAGACCTGTTCATCGTATCTGTAGAAATGGGCTTTTGAGTGATCAAAACTGGCATATGGCAAGCCAGCTGGATCTGGCACAGAGTCTTAAAAAGAAAATAGAGAAAAGGCTTAAATCTGTGCTCACAACAAGTAGAACATTTTTGAAAAAGGCCTACAAACAAGAAATTAATGCAAACTAGAAGCAGAAAACTACATACCTTCAGTAGCAGGTTGGATAACTCGTTCTAAACCACGTGACTGATAGAACTCTCTAATCCTTTTGTCTTCACCTGGTTCATATGAAGAGATGCAAAGACATGAATAGTGTTCACATATGCATATCCAAAACTATAGAAGGTGCAATGGACATAGAATGGACATAGAATGCCCCAATTTTTTTTTATATGAAATGTGAAAGAAGAAAGCTAGCATTTTTCAATAAAAAAGTAGAAAGAAGCAACCTCCATAAGATTAAATAATACATATGACCTCCTGGAGATTTTAAAGATTACTTATTGATGTGTGATATAACTTGAAAGTTAGAAAAAAATTATATTTGACAACCCCCACAGCCATAATTAAATATCAATTTAGCCTTCAAAATTAAACTATAATGATGCATAACAATATGCAGAGGATAAGGTTTATTATATAACAAAAAAGCAAAAACAATTAGAACACATTTATTACCAATTGTGTGAGTTTTAAGTCAAATGATCATTAAAACTAATCGAAAAGACTGTGGATTAAGTCAAGCATTACTTACAAATCACATTAATAATTAAATCAACCATATAAAATACCTTTTAAATACAACCACCAAGACTGAACTTTAAGCATGTTTAAATATAAGATTCTACATTAATATCTACAAAGGGCTAGGCACACTGGATGCAATTATGAGCTAGCAAATAAAAAGCAAGGTAAATAAAGAGTGAACAGAAAATTTTCTGAAAAAATAATCGCAATGCCGAATCCTATTACATGTCATAATGGATCAACTGCAAATCACCTTTATTACTACAGAAATACTGAACTGAAGTCTTTCAACTGGTCCAATGACTTCTCTGTAATTAGTAGCTTTAGTGACAACAGAGTCCTGTAACTGGATTGAGCAGAACACTGCCGTTTTAATTACCTGGTGGTATTCCTGTTACCATGTCCTTACACCAAATGTTTCACCCTCAGCTTTGTCTTCGTTAGTTAACAACAGTTTCCCTTTTTTGCATTTTTAAAAATTTGGTACACTTCACATCATTCACGTCACTACAGGCATTTGCTCACTCGATTCACACCCAGTGTGTAAGGCCCTCCAGTAACAATGTTAGTAAATAAGAGATATAGTACAAGATGTTTCTCTTGAGTAACTATTGATAAACTCTCCTCCACAGGAATTTGTGTATATATGGATTTTAAAGAAGTGAACTCAGATTGACTTTCCGAAAGTAAGTAGCCACTGGATTTTTTTAGACATCCAGTGTAGAAACCACTGTGATACTCACTGACCCTTGTCTTTAACATGTCTTAAGAATCAAAGGTGGTTCAACATATACTACCTTTTATCCATTTTTCCCCAAAACAAAGGGTTATATAAAAATCACAGCTGTATATAATGTTATTTTGTGTAACCTTTTTCCAAATTTATCATTTCTGGAATTTCATTGTAAAAACAAACTAATAGATTCCTAAAATTCAGCAGTCTGCTAACAACCAAGCATACATAAAAGCATTATGTAATAAATTAGCAATTTATAAGTGCTTTATTTGATAACCCAATTCATTATATTTAGGTTATGTTAAGAAACGCATGCTATGGATTACTTTTGTAGTCTTACATTCTGTGAAAAATAACTACTAAAGACTTATCCATTCCTTGGGACAACCTCTTTTCTGAAAAAATTAGTTTTGGTCAAAACCCACTTTTAATATCTCATCACACCTACACATTCTTTACAAACTACCATTGCTACATGGAACCTGCTTCAGTGAAATAGGTTGAAAAGCCACTTCCAAAAAGAGAAATGATTCCAACTGGAAGTGTTAGAACTTAATCCCATCACCTTTACCACACTAGTAGTACACACAGTATTTACCTTTTAATTGGCATTTAATTCTGTGAGAATGTTTTCAAAAAGTGAGGAGTAAAAAAACATGTTATTACTTCAATGCCAAGAGAAAGATCAGTTATTTACGATTTTTTATAGTAATAACTCAATGTGGCCAGTAGTACATACCAAGATAGGGGTAGGGAATGCATTATAAAGAGATTTGGAAATGAATTATGACTATTGTTTTCAGTTAAGGCTACCTATTCTCTGTAGAGCTGATTGGTGAATTTATATTCTAACCCTTTCCCTACAGATTTATGACTTAAGGTGAACAAAATTAGTGGGACAGGAAATTTTATACTTTTATTCCAGGAATACTCATTTAATAGTCAACAAGTATAATAAGAATGCTGATTGAATAAACACAGTTGCCGCTATTCTGAAATTTAAATGTGGCACGACATTCACCCAAACCAATTTAAAATTTAATACTTACTCTCTTGCAATCCTGGTACCAGTTTGTAGACAATGTCTTGCATCACTCTGTCCAGTTTAAGGTTCAGTAATGGCTGTGTTTCATGGATTTTTATATTACACATTGGACAGTATTTGCTGGTTTGAAGATACTTCACAATGCAGCTCTTACAGACTGCAAATGATAAAATGCATTTACATATTAATAAAAAAAAATAACAAGCTCAGTGCCAATATCCACCTGTCCATTTTCTAACAGCTTTTTCCAGGAGCCTATCCCAGGCATGGGCGCCAGGCAGGAAATAGCCTGGACAGGACGCCAGTCCATCACAGAGCATCCATGGACACAAGCATTCACATCGAGGGCCAATTTACCCAGATGCCTATTGACCTACCAGTATGTCGTAGGATGTGGGGGGAAACTGGGACATCTAGAGGAAACCCACAAACACAGGGAGAAAACAAAAGCTCCCTGCAGACAGCACCCCAGGTCCAGAGTCAAACCGAGGGCCCCAGCACTGAGAGGCTGCTCAGTGTAACCACTGTGCTGCCCCAATAACTCTCCAATAAAGGAAATAATTAAAGGTTTGGCTCATGTGATCAAATAAGGTGGGAAGCGGAAATCATAAAAAAGAAGTAGTTCAGGTGGGTAGCTGTGTCAGCATGCGTAGTCTGCACCTGAAGAAGGCTTCACAGCTGAAATGTTGTGTTTTCTCTATTCTCTTTGCATCGTAAAAAAATATTATGCTTGGCTGGACCTTTAAGTAGTGCGACTGTTTTAAAGCTCCTTTAAGAAAGGCAAAGTCTCTAAAGGTGCAATTAAAATGAAAAAAGAATATTCAGTTAACTATGTGCTTTTTGGAATGAAAACTAGGCATTACCTGCGTCACTGAGGACAAGGACTTATTAGAAATTATTAGAAAGGCTTCTAGTAGTACCAGATATTTAGATGTGAACTGCATATCAGACTCTATAAGTTTCTTTAGATATTATTTTAACTCGTTGCACAGCATTTGAAATACCTGATGATTTCAAACAGCCTAAAAACATTTTAGGTAATCTGGAATCTTACACTTCAGAAAAAGGCAAAAAAACACCTTTGTAATACTCAAAATAAGTTACACTTACATGTATGCAAGCACTCGGTGATTGTTGTGGCATCAATGAAGTACCCGGCACACAGGTAGCAGACAATATGCTCATTTAGGTCTTTAATTTTAACCTTAACTTCTTCCTGCAGATAAAAGTCAACACCTGAGTTCATTTATACGAAATTGAAACGAAATCCATTATTTTACATGCTGCGCACAAAAAGTAAGACCAATATAAAATTCTTTATTTTGTATTTTTAAGTTATTGGTCCCAAACAAAAACACTTAGACGATGTTACTTTCTATCCTGTGCCAAAGATCTTAAGCCCCCAAAATGTTGGCCAGATTGACCAGCACTGGGGAAAACACATTTTCTAACGTCACCAATGGTTCGAAGGCGAGATCTGAAATTTTCCAAAAGGGGAGACAGTCACGGAAAACTCTGCTTCTGTTTACTTAATCTACTGATCAGAACAAAGAGGCGTTGCGCAGCGTTGACGAAAACAAGGGTGTCATTTGCAGCTCACGGGTGTCTCGTTATTTTAAGGCTGAAAACAAAACCCGTTCCGCGCCCCCTGCATTTAAATTCTAAGGAGAGTGAAAACTAGTTAACTAGCTCTGGCTCCAGCATCTGGTGCGAAAAAACAAACAATGAGTTTCCTCTTTACAAAGCAACCCCGAGTTAGCGGGCATGGGATGCTTAGCACAATTAACCTGCTATATTTAGCTCCCCTGCCCAGTCTTGGCTTGCCGAAGCGCGCAGCTGGGCGAGAGAAGTCCTGTCGCACCAGCGGCGGTGCGTCTGTGCGCTCAAGGGCCCGAAACCCTCCCGTGTTCCAGACACAACTAGGATATCCATAACTAACTCACTTGTACAACACAACTTCCCATTTTATCACGTAAAGAACGTAAACAACAACAGACCCCCCCGTCCTAAATATTGTCGAAGATGCGACGGAGACTACCTCATTTTTGTTAGCTAGCTACCCTCATAATACTGCCAAGAACCAGGGTTTGTTCTCTAAACGCGCTCAAGCATCACCGAGTCCCCGGAAAGAGGAGAGCACGCTGCTTGAACTTCGGCTACACGGAGGACGGCTGCCAGCGAGAGGAGAATTTAGCTGCGCAGGTAACACACAAGTAGTTCAACGAAACAGAAAGCAGAAGAAACTCTCCCACTCACGCCTGCGCAATTACAGCGTACGAGTCTACTGTCCATTGCTCCTCTCGCAGAACAAACATCTCGAAGTGGCGCTGCTTTCCTGCCATTTATACAGAGCCTCCACATCATCTCCCGAACACCCACTAGATCGAAACGAACGCGAAAACCCAGATACTGAATGGCACTAACCTCATTCCTTAAAGGGTCAAGCTTATAAACCGACTGCAGCTGATTTCTCAGCCGCATAGCTATCGCCATCGGTCCCTGCGCCGCCATCTTTGGCACTTAGGCCTACTTCCGGTTTAGAATTGTGTTGTCATAACAACCGCAACAGCCTACGAGGGAAAAAGATGTAGTACAGTAGATCGAGATGGAAAAGATGTAACTTCTGTGTTTCCATTCGTATCTTTTTCTTCAGAAAGATATTTAAGATGATGTTTATTTTCCGTACACTATTTTATGCAATTAAACCTTCTCGACAAAAACGTTTGAATGCAAAATCAGACGATTTGATTTAAAACTAAATAAACTAATTACATTTATTAAATAAAACCTGCTCAGACAATTTCACGGTCAACCTAAATTGCACTGAATAAGGCACACGAACATAGTGTTTTAAGAAAGGTATAAAGAAAGGTAGTCATTATTTTTGTACCAAATAATAAGCAAATAAGCTATCTCATTAAAGAAAGTAAAAATAAATGGAAAATCGAACAGTAACCTATGGGTTTACATCTATATGCTGCACTTTATCCTCCAAAATATATCTGTTACAAGAATTGTGTATTTTTTTAGTTCCCCTAGTTAAATCTAGGGTATCACCCGTTTTAGAGCAGCAGACAACTAAGAAAGTCCAAATTTGTTAATATTTTAATCAAGCGTTCCGCTAAACTCCTTTGGAACTAAAACAAGATTGTGGGATATAATGTTTTAAGTGACTTTGGTAGCAGAAGATGGTTCACTGTTCACACCTAGGCATCGATAGGTTGCTTTGGATAAACTTTGAACTTGTTTTATAGCTTTGAAACAACCGTGGTTTTGAAACTAAAAAGTAAAATATTTAAGGTAATTTGGAGTCTTGCACGCCTTGAAAAGCTGGAAAGATTTTAACTGTGCGAATTATCCATTCAATTTTGTACATATTGAACCAAATCTGGAGTCCCTGGACTGAGAAGCCTTGGAGTACAATTTATTACAGAGACGATATAGCGGTAGTAATGTGTAAGTACCACCCTAGAACTACGATAAGTCATCAGAATAGCCCACAATAAAGTTACTCTCTACATTAATAGTTAGACAGCTTTACAGTATGTCCTGAGGAAGCCTCTGTGGCTAGCGTTCTTTGTAGTGACACTTCAGGATCTCTTTGTTATACATTTACATCGATTTGCAATTACTAACTAGCTACACCATAACGTAGTACGGCTAACTAAGGAAGATGTGTAGTTATGAAGCTGTCATAAATAAAGGCAAATGGCGATTGTAACGATCGTAATCCCTCCTCTTAAGGGCGCTCCGGCTCTTTCACATTTTGCTGATTCCGTGCACCTGCCCTCAGTCCTGCCCCTCCTTATTTAAACCGGGCGCTCTCACCGGTCTCTGGGATCGCACTGGATCCCACTCCGGCTTCTGTCTCCTCAACCGGATTTGGACCTTGGACCTTGGACCTTGGACTCCCCCCAGGATTCCTTGGACTTGTTTGGCATGGCCACGCCCCCCGAGCACCAGTTCACTGTCGTCATTGGCTTCCTCAATGTACACTATCATCTAGGTGACACACTGGTGACTGGGAGGTATGATGCCAAACAAGCCCATAGTTTGGATGTTTTGGCTTACATTTTCAGAAGGCGGCATGGATTTTTCAAGACTTCCCTAGAATATTAAAGGCCCCAGTCCCACAAAATGTGAGCCAACTATGCTCCTTCATAGATTTTAATATAGCAGATTTATACCCAACGTTGCCACATTGCTGAGTCGCTTGGTGCCAGATCTGGCATTGGGCAAAAGACTGTGTCATGCCATTCAAAGGGTACTCAAAGACCATTCTCTCCCTCACCTCCATTTTGAAGCTGCAAAAAGAGGTTCCTTCACTGGGAGCAGCCAGGATGTCTCTTCTTTAGTTAAAAAGATGCTTAATGTGGGGCATCGCAGTGATTATCCCTTCGCCCTTAAGAGGAGTCACTACAGGGATGACTCTCTGTGGTCATTAAAAATCCCAGGGCGCTTCTCGAAAAGAGTAGGGGTGTAACCCCGGTGTCCTGGCCAAATTTCCAATTGGCCCTTACTAATCATGGCCTCCTAATAATCCCCCTCTATGAATTGGCTACATTACTCTGCTCTCCTTCCCACTGATAGCTGATGTGTGGTGAGCGTTCTGGCGCACTATGGCTGCCGTCGCATCATCCAGGTGGGGCTGCACACTGGTGGTGGTGGAGGGGATCCCCATTACCTGTAAAGCGCTTTGAGTGGAGTGTCCAGAAAAGCGCTATATAAGTGTAAGCAATTATTATTATTATTAATTATTATTATTAATTACAACTGTGCTGTTATTCCCTTGATGAGGTGCATGTGGGAGAGCCTGGGGTTGTTCCAATTAAAGCTTTGGCAAGAAGCTAAACTTGGTGGCTGGGAATTGACTCCCTAATTGAACAACAAGTAAAAACATGCACTTTGTGTCAATTTGTTCAAAACGTACCCAGTCATTCCACCTCTTCATGCCTGGATCTGGCTTGCATCTCCTTGGCAGTGTTCAGTGCACATGTAGATTTTGCAGGACAACTTGAGAAACACATATACCGTATGTAGTTATTGTGGGCGCCCACCCCAAGAGGCCAGAAATTCATGTCATGGACTACTGTTCATGACTCCATTCATGACGTGTTACGGCGCTACTGCCGGTAAGATCATTCATGTCTTGCAAGGACTAATCAGCCACAATGAAATTCCTCAACAGCTTGTGAGTGATAATGGGCCTCAGCTCTGTTCCAACGAGTCTGCAGCATTTCAGAAATCCAATGGTGTAAACATATCCGCTGCGCACCATACCATCCTGCAACAAATGGTCTAGTTACAAGTTTCAAGCAAACCATGAAACATGCACTAAAGTCTACTAGAGGACCGACGCCTCTAGAACAGATCTTGGACAACATCTTGATCATGTGCTAAAACACCCGTCATTTCACAATTAAGAAGTCTCCAGAGATGCTCTTCTTAAAATACAGTCTTTGTTCCCAGCCTGGATTTGCAGAAACCAGACTTAGCAGCAGAGGTCCTAAGACACCAGGAGTCACAGATTATCCACAGGCAATCGTGATCTAGGGCTCAACAGTTCCGGGTTGGCCAAACAGTTCTGGAGATTACCGGAAGGGGGAGAAGTGAACACCTGGAGTCTTCGCATCCCAGACTGGCCCAATTTCACAAACAGTAGATGTCAAGACCAAGGGGAAAAGGAAATGTAAAGCTGACCTGTTACTGGGTTGCCCAGTTCAGACTGACCAAGACAGATCTCAAGGGCATCACACTTAATAGAACAAGTAAAGGTTAATTCCCTGCTGAAAAGAGAAGAAAAGAAACACAACATTTTGGCTGTAGAGCCCTCTTCGGGTGTAAGAAAGAGAGGAAAATCGTTAGCTGATAAAGCATGGGAGAAATTTTAGATGTAACTTTAACTCTGCCATTCATAAACAGATGTTTGTTTACCAGCATCTGAAAAGCAGGAGAACTTCATTAGTGTGCCATCAAGTCCCTCCAAGGTACACAAGTTGGAAAAGAACAGCAGCTGCATCCAATTCAAGGTGGCAGATGAGCCAGAGCCCATCCCAGCAAGCAATGACAAACAACCTACACTGCAGTATACACCCAGGACAGGATACCAGACCACCAGAGGGCAGACACACTGACAAGCTCACATCAGCAGCAGTTCTCCCAGAAGCCAATTAACCTACAAATATGCATTTGGATTGTGGGAGAAAACCAGAGCACCCAGAGGAAAACCACACAAACACAGGGAGAAATACTCCCCACCAGGTCTGGAATCGACCCCAGGCAGTAATGCTAACCACTGCTCCACCGAGTTACCTGGCAATTTGCTCTGCTTAAATTAATTTTATGAATGGTAGATTTAAAGCTACATTTAACATTTCAAAGGCAGCTTGAATGTTCATCTGTTTCAGAGTAGAAATCAATTTGAAAACATCTCATTACATGCATTTTCAGTCACATTATGATTTCACTTTAGTTCAGCAAAGTTTAGAACACGAACCGCAAGACGCAGGTGTCCCAAGGACCAGCATAGGGAAGCATTGCTTAAAAAGCTGTTAAATGAATCCAATATTCGGCTGTGAATTGACATGGAATAATTGTGTCATTAATTCTGTTTCAGTGCTTCAGCTTGATTGAAACACATCTGTCAAATTTTGTTTTCTGATTTCTAAAATGTGTAACCATTTTCATTCCAATATCAGTTCTTAACCTGCTTAAGTGAACTAATTATTGCCTAAGTAGGCTACAGTGTTTGTGACTTTAGTTTTATAAAATAAATTGACCATTTAAAAGATAAACGTGATTCATAGAAGAATGACTACAATAAAAAAAGTCATTGAGAGAAGTGCAAACATTGCTTAAATACGTCAGTACAATTATAAGTACAACACAGCGGTATCTTTAAGTTATAAATGACTAAAGGGGGTTGGGCTTCTGTTTGTAACATTTTTATGGTATAGTGTTTGCATTACACATTGCTGACCTTTTTGCTCTTTGACATGTACAGAGAGTCGACATCAGTAAAGACATGTAAATAAACTATTATTTTTATATGAACCACGTTTACGTTTCTAATAGAATTATGCGATGTGGAGAATTCTCAGATCGATCGTGGAAAAGGCTAAATTCACGAGCCTTCATGCAGAGTCGAGGTGTACAGCGCGGAGTTACCGCTGTTAATTAGCGTTTTTCCAGTAGATGGCACTGCTTACACAATAAATAAGGGCAGATGGTGCTGTCTTGCGTACAAGACCGACTGACGGTGAATTGGGACCTGTTGCACCATTCTTGGTTAACGTAGTTTGACTTCAGAAGTGTCCCAGAGAAGTGGCAGATCAGAACGATTTACTTAAAGCTCTCCTATTTCAAAATAGTTTTCAAAATGCAATCCAAGAATTCTACGAAGATGTTTTTTAAACATGCAGCTAATATGCACCTTTAGGCCTAAATATATAATTCTTTCCACACTGAAACATACTGTAGCTCAATACATACTATAGTATAATTAAGATATTAATATCTTCACCTATATTCAACATTAGAGGCTTTGGAGCCATAATCCTTGAAAACTCTCTGTAGTTTCTTAAATTATCACAATTTCTATGCTTTCTGTTTAATATTTATTATAATTGCTGTCTGTGTTTGTGAAGCTTCCCATTTAATCTACATAGTTTATTTTAAATATATTTTACCTATATTAAACTTAAGCCAAATCTCATCTTTATTGTTTTTAAAATATGTACTTTTGGCTTTTCATGTGTTGCATAATGAGATTTGTTGAATTTGTTATGTAAAGTCATCCCAAAAAATTTAAGTATCATCATTACCTATATTTGTTATTTATAGTACAATACTGCACAGATTTCACTTTTTGTTGCTTTAAAGCTTATACATATGACATTTTGACTTAGAAATTAATTAGGCATTAATATATAATTTACCACATAAATTCAAAGAAAAATGGATAATTGATGTGAAAGAAAAATTGGCAAAAATTACTGTTTCATTTGTATTCAAACACTTTGCTGTGGCAAACCTACATTACTTTTGGATACAGAAAATGACACAAAGGCCTCTGTGTGTGTGCAGTAATTGTGGTTCACATGTTTTCAGCAGAAATGCATCGATCTACATAAGGTCCTTCGGTCAGGTAGTGAATTTTAAGCAAATATTCAAGCATGATGTTCAAGGAACTTTGAAATCAACTCAGGGGTACATTTGTATATAAAGACACAGATCAGGACAAGGGTGTAAAGATGTTTCAAAGACTTTTAATATTTCTGTGAGCAGTGAGTTTGATTATTAATAAATGGAGGGCACCCAGACAGTCTAGATCAGGCTGTTCCTCCAAGCTGAGTTATTGGACAAGGAGGAAACTGCTTATGGATGCAGCCAGGAGCCCAACAGCAATGTTGAAAGAGCTACAGAGTTCAGGGGCTGTGAAGGGAGGAAAAGTCCTTGGGTCAGCAAACTCCCAGTCACTCCACTAAAGGGGCTTGTGTGGCCCTGAAAAACACATCTCAGATCCCACATTGGATTTGCAAAAAGAACCAGAACGCTCACCACACATCAGCTCTCAGTGGGGATGAGAACAGAGTAATGAAGCCAATTCATAGATGGGGATTATTAGGAGGCCATGATTGGTAAGGGCCAATGGGAAATTTGGCCAGGACGCCAGGGTTACACCCCTACTCTTTTCAAGAAACACCCTGGGATTTTCAATGACCACAGAGAGTCAGGACCTCGGTTTTACATGTCATCCGAAGGACAGCACCTGTTTACAGTATAGTGTCCCTGTCACTATACTGGGGCATTAAGACCCACTTGGACCGCAGGGTGAGTGGCCCCTGCTGGTCCCACTAACACCTCTTCCAGCAG